TAACTTTCTCTTTCCGTTTCTTGCTGACGCTCGGGGCGAGATGGGATTCAGAAGGTGTGATCAGTTGGCGAGAAGGGCCAACGTTTTTTGTGTATGATTTAATCTTCTTCTTCACAACATGTTGCCATATATTACGAAGCTCTTTGAGACCAACAGGCTTGACCAGATAATCACACGCACCGTGAATAATACCTTTCATTACACTATCGTAGTCGCTATGAGCTGACAACACTGAGAGAACAAAAACAAGTTATAGGAGAAGGCTACTAGAGTTGATTTGAAAACAAAGAGAGTGTACGTACTGATAACAGGAAGGTCCATTTCAAGACCAATCTCAAGCAACTTAAAGCCATCTGTATCAGGCATCTCTACATCACTTATCACCAGATCAAACATATTGCCGTTCTCTCTCAGCATTTCCAGTGCTTTCTTCGACTCCATAGTCTTTGTCACTGGCAATATCAATCAAACAGTAACCTCTGATGCATTCTTGTTCCCAAACAGACAGGTAAAAACAGAATAGACAGAAGCAAAGAATAAGTACCATGATACTTGCATCGAAGCAGCAACTCTTCGAGTTTCCGTAGGCAGGTTGGATTGTCATCCACGGCAAGAACCCTCATCCCTACCGGAAACTGCTCAGTCCTACCCTCTTCAGTTCTCAACAACTCCATATTTTCCATTCTGATGAGTGCTCCTTAGTCCCACAAGAAGTACATAAGACTTTGATTTGTGTATTCTGCAAAACCTGCAGTTTCCACTAGAAGATTAAAGTCCTATCCACCAGAAGTATAAGGAAAAGAGGAGAGGCCAATGAGGAAGAGAGTGATTGTGCAATTAATCCGGCCCTTAATTCTCCACATAATAAATTACATATTTCCTTCTGATTTTGCTCCTCTTTCCATATACGGGGACATGGGAGAGTCACATGCTTCTCTACTTTCCTTTTGTTTGTTGAATCTTCCCTAATCTGTACACAAAAGACAAGTTTTCGTAAAGTGATTTTAAATGTTCCCATTTCTTTTCCTTCCTTATAAATATCATCTTCTCTTGTAACGTTCAAACTTCAAACCCACCATTTCATCTTTGACTTTCCTTATATATTCACTTCCTATTCTGATAGACAAGTTTTCCTTTTTTCATATCAATGTAACTGCACCCAAACAAAAAACTATCATGACCTTACCCATATGGGGCAGTTCCAAAAATGAGAATTCGACAAGGCAATGGACTGACCTGATCCGTATCACATTCAAACTTTAACCAGAAACCCAACATTTGAAATAACAATTGATTTTTCCTCCAAATTGGGTTCTTAACAATATTTATAATATATTAATTTTGCTTTATCAAATGTTTAGAACCCCATTAGAATTAATTAATTTTGTTCCCCTCCATTGGTTGGAACCAATAAAGGGTTCTTAAGAATAAAAAAATAATATTTTTAAATTATTTTATTGTAAGTATAAATTATTATGTTAAAATTTGAAAACATACTACATTTTATAAAATCTAAATTATACTATTACATTTAATGAAATTTTAAATATACATTAACAAAATTTTAAACACATATATCTCAAGCTTATTGTACTGTATATGCTTGATATTGATCAACAAATGTTGTGGTCATTAGACGTAAAANNNAAAAAAAAATCAGATTCTTGAAATGCGCCTCTTTGTTCCCATGTTGTAGGCTAATAAACTCAAATTAAGACAAGAGTTTCAAGTAAGCTATAAAACAAATCCTACTATAGGCAAAGAAAATGACTACCATGATTCAGGAATATAATTGGTATCGCAACCGGAACATTCAGTGAGCGCATTGTTATCCTCCTCAACAGAAAGTCCTACACACCTGACAAAGACAAACCAAAACTACACCGAATAAGGGAAAATTTTGATGTGATCTACTCAAAAGACAAGCTGTGATAACACAGGACACTAAAGAAGTGTGCTTTTACAAGATGTAGATAGGTTAAAGAATCGACTTTGATGTCAAACAAGAACATATATAGTAAGAAGATAGAAACATTGAATCTTTTTAAGAAAGAAAAGATACCAGGACAGGAAGGAATCTAATTGGAAGGAGTGGGCTTGAAAGTGTAAGGCTGAGGTAGTGACATTGGACCTTTCCTCTCGTCTTTATCATCCAACAGCCTTTGAACTCTCTTGTTCCTACAATACTCCCTATCGAAATGCTTCACCTTCAATTTTAAAAAATCCGTTCCATTAGATCAAACCCCAAAAGTTAAAAGCAAATAAAGAGAATCTCTTTCAGAGATGCAAACTAATT